TTGTCTTCAAGGAAGGATAAAGATGAAACATGATGCTGTGAGCAGGACACTGGAACAAGATTCATAAGATACCGGGTCCTGAGTTCACCACAGCCTTCCTGTGTGGCTGGAGAAGAAGCATTATTTTTGATTAAATCAAAGTTCCACTGGAGTCAACAGCAACCCTCCTCACTAACTTTGCCTCAAGGTCTTCTCCAGTGAATTTCTACTTCTCTGGGGTTTCTTTCCTTTTCATCTTATAGTCTGTACTTACCTACTGATACAGCTTTTATTGTGCCCTAGGAACTAAAGAGGGAAGCTTATAGAGACTTATTCATTCTATCAAGAGACTGAGATTTCTCAGATGATCCATGAAGTACGAAATATGAACGTGTGAATTAGCCAGCGGTTCAGAAATATTGATTTTAAATTGGCTTAGATAGGCTTCAACTTGAAATATATTAACTGCAATCTGTCTACAATAGGCTAATAATATCCTGAAATCTCTAAGTTCTTTTTCTGTGTTTGTGTGCAAGCCAAGGAAAATACTCAATGTCCTTGTCATTTTCTCCCCCTCCTTTCCTAACCTGTAGCCAAAATCACAAACCATTCAATGAACTGCAACAGAGAAGGTAGTTGGTATTTCATTGTTAATGAGCTAGACCGTGCATGTTTGGTATCCGTAGGTATTCTGTTATCACTAAAGATGTTGTGATTTTGGTGTTCGCTCTCTTGGTTTTGAGATCATTAAGTAGTGTAAACGATGTATAAGTAAAAACAGTTAACTACAAGGTGCAGAGAAACATTTCTGGCACACAAAGAAAATGACTGACTGCAAGTTAGAAAAAACCTCTCTGGCATGAAACAGTGACTACCGCTCATGGCATTTTATGGAGTGTTTTACTATCTCTCCCTTTTGCAACCTAAGGAAGATAGCAGACTTTCTAACGCTCTTAACAGCAATACCACTTTAATGAATGTATTAAATAATTATAGAAGTGTACATGCTGTAATTTGCTAAATGCTTTTCAACTGTACAAAGACACAGTTCTTTTCAAAAACAAAAAATTGGCACCCAATTGCTAATTAGAGGACTAGAAGACATATTCTTCTGACCTTCTGTCAGATTAAGCTTTCTGAACTGCTTGTACTGCATCTGTCTTTCTGTGGCTCATAGTTCAGCTATTTAGCTTACTTTTTTTTTTTCACAGAAAATGAATTTGTTTTCTGTGTCATAGCATTTTTCTCTTTTTAGCACTAGCACATTATATTTAAAAAAATGTTTATGTAATACTCTATTTGCATCTTTAATATGTTTTGTTTATTTTAAAAACCAAGAGCTGAGCATGCATATTACTGATGCAGAAAGCATAGTAATGGAACAACAGGCCTTTATTTGTCAGCTGAAATAATGCGTGCATTCAACCAAATTTTTCCTTTTAAATTAGAAATTAGAAAGTTAAATGTATATGCTAAAATCAGGTATAACAAAAAGAGAGGAGGTGGCTCTAGTGCACTAATCTCCATTTGAACACCGTAAATGTTCACCTAAGACTTCTTAAAGTGCCTGAATTTTAGTATCTAAATCTTACTGAAATTTTTGTGGGACCTGGGTGTCTAGCTCTAGAAGAATACTTTGAAACTCAGGATTTTAGTATTAATTTAATTTCCAACTAGATCCTTGAGCTAGGCAAGTGATGGAGAGCAAGTGATGGAGATACATTTTTTTAAAAAATCACCAGTGACCTGGAAAACTGCTGAATTTCATAATGATCTTAGGTCAGACATGGACTACTGATTATTCACCTAGCACAGTAATTCATGCCAAATCACCTATCTTTAATAATATTTCAATGTTAATTTCATAGTTTGCATTATTGTATAATGTTAGAACTTTCCTCAGTTCATCTTGAAATGTTTGGCTTTTTGATAGGTTCACACAAGCCCACAACAAATATCATGTATCTTCACATACATATACGATACATATTCATGGATATAAGATGTGGAAAGATCACTAACGTATAGACATGATTATAACAATCAGTTTAAAACATTTTGATTTAAAGCAAGTAAATAATACTAATATAGTGTGCAAAAAATGCAGTGTAACAGTTCTTGGCATTTTTACATTAAATGTAATAAAAGTGTACAGTCCTTGATAATAAAACACTTGGTCCTATGAAGATAGAGAGGAGAATTCTTATTAGGTTGCCAATGGTCTGATTCAGAAGTCATGGGACCCACACAAAGTCTGATTTTCAAAACCTAATGGAGACTTTCCATTAGCCCCAACAGACTTTGGGTCAGACTCTTAAAAGTATATGACTGCGTACACATGCATTGCGCACATGCCTAGCCCACAGGTTCTTCCCCATATGCTAAAAAATAAAAATACCTCTTCATATCAAGAATGCTAGAGCTTCAAGATCTGTAAGAAATAAGAAAGTACTAGGTGATACTAAGAAACCTACTGTTCTAGATGCATACACTGAGACATAAGAAAATCAACCATGTCATTATGAGATGTTCTGCAAGACATGCAAAATGCCTCCTATTGACAACAGTTTTCTGACAGAAAGCATACGCACTCACTGACAACATGCCCAACAACCCACTCCCATCAGACATTTAAATATTGCAAGCATTGTCCTCTTCCAGGCACCCTAGCTTGTGTCCAGGGGATCATGCAGTGAAGCTAGTGGAGCTGGCAACTGCGATGAGGCTTTTGAGCGAGTAGTGCCTCCAGCCCAGTAGTCCACGATGGACTGAAACTTGCTCTTTAGTGCATTGTGTTACAGTGAAAAAAATTACAAAAAAAAAGGAAAGAGGAAGGGAAAGGGAAAAGGAAAAGCCCACCACTTAGCCCAAACGTCAGCATTTGTCTTGGATGTGCTCAACACTGGTGGAAAGCCAAGAGAAGCTGTTCAAAGGTTTTTGCATCAGGCCATTTCTCCTCCATTAGGTATGTTCATTTTCCTCTTGTGTACCAAGAAATCACTTGGGCTTTCATTACGAAACTAGTAACAAAACTAAATGCTACAGATTATTTACAAGACCAAACAAAAAGGGCTGAAAAAACCAAACTGCGGGAAAGAGCTTTCAGAAGCGAAGGCTGGTGACTTGCCACATAATGGTTGGAGACTAACCTAATTATACAGGAGTCTTTACGGCAGCTTTGGATGTGATTGCTTCTGTGATTCTGTTAAATGTTCAGCAAAAAGCAGAGTCGGACCATTCATTTCATTGTAGTTTCTAACAGGATTTTCTCAAACAACAGATTTCTCTTGCCAACTGTGTTTGGTAACCAAGTGTAAGTGAAATCAAATGCCCTTTTTGCAGGTCATGAAAATATAGACTGATTCAGGCAAATATTAGTCTCAAGCTTCTTTCTTAAAAGCAACTTTGGGGCTACACTCTTTGGTCTCGTATCATATTAGCCACATTAGGAGATCTATTTTCATATAACTTTGTTTCTTGATTAAGAAGATATATTTAACAGCAATTTTCATCCATCCTGCTTCAGCAGCAGCTAGGGCAGGATAAAATCCTTTATTCAAGAGGGCTTCCCAGCTGTGCTGTTGCTTCAGCCCTATCATTTCTCCCCCAAGCTGCCCACAAGCCCCTGTTACACAGTCCTGGCTTTGCTTCTGCAGACAACCGGTGGAGGGCAGGGGATGCCTGACGGGTACATAGAACTCAAACACCTTTTTTTCCACAAAATGCTGTTTTTTCAAATAGTGTTCTTCCCATCTGTGTAACAGTTTGTACTCTGCATCTTTAAAAGTAGGCATGTAAAACTGAAAAGATTTTGTAACCAGGATTAAATATCCACTACCTTTAATTATTGCACAATTAAAATAATAATGGTAGGCTTTTTTGGCTAATCAAATAAAAATGAACTTTTAATTGAACATTTAATTAATGTTTCATATCAATCAGGAAATAAAATACTCTTGAATTTTTATTATGATATTTGCTTGTGTTACTGAGAGCTCTTTAAGGCATCAACAGATGTAACAAACCCATTTATTTACAGCACATTTGCCCTCACTAGGACTGAGGGGTGCACAGGAAAACAGAAAATGTTCTTTGGGATGTCTTAATAAAAATACATGCAAATAATTGGGAAAACAAGAACAGCAGCATATAACAGCAGAAAATTTCTAGAAGAAGCCTAAATTGTTGCTGGCGGGGTTTTCCCCTAGTTAAATAGACAGGTGAAAATTCCCCTTTAGGAAAGCATATGCAGAGCATGCAGGGTTTTTGGAGGAAAATTATTGTACGGGCTGGTTTCCAAAAATACTGTGGCTATAAAACATAATTAGATGGCAAGTATGTGAATAACAAAAGTTAAAATCCCTAGGAGTAATGAGATTCATTTGGTAATTGTATGAATGAAAGATAAATGTTGTCCTTTTAATTTGTTCTCTGACCACTGAGGACGCAGCTTTATGGACAACTTTCCAGCTGCACCTTCATCTAAGCAGTGACTGCTCTGAGGTTGCTGGATCATTTTCTAGATTATATTTCAGCTGGAATAACCCCCCAACCCAGCTCACCAGGCAGCCACAAGAAATGCATGTGTTCATACAGGGAAAATATAAGGGGAGAGAAAGTAAATAAAGGTGAAAGGACAGGTTTTCTACAGACATAAAGTACAGCTTTCCTTTCCTTTTTTTTTTTTTCCCTTTTTTTTTTTTTTCCCTTTTTTTATTAGGGATGCTCAGATTCTTGTGCAATCGTGTGATTTTTAGTGCTGGAGAGCTACAAAAGACAGCAAAGGAACAAGACTTGCAGTAACATTAAGAGCAGGGATGGCACTGAAGTGTTCAGTCTGCTCAGCTGACAATCTCTCCAAAAAATGCTGTTTAACTCCTAGAAAGACATCCCTGTTAATGCAGCCATACTGTAACCTGCCATATGGTTCAGATAATCGATTTGAAATGTGAAGTGATAGACGAGAGCCCCATTTGTCACATCTTCCCCTGCAGATATGTGAGGAAAAAAACAGAACTCACCATTATTCACCAGGACATGGAGTGGACAATCCTTTGCTCTAAACCGCTGCACAAATTGCCGTATAGACTTCATGGAAGCCAAATCACAGTATAAAAACTCCACTGGAAGAGAAGCAGAGATGAATAAAAACAGAGTTAAGTCAGTTACAATGATATAAAAACACACTTACAGACATCAACAAGGACTCCTGTGAGAATGTCACCAGGAAAGTAAAGATTTTAAAAATAAACCAGGCTTTTGGAAATTATGGGTGAAGCTGATCTCAGAAGGTTCCTTCTTTCTCCTTCCTTCTTCCATTTCTATTTTTAAACTATTGATTCTTCACAGAGCAAATATGAGGAATGCTGCTGCCAGGAGGTGAAGAAGGGTATCAAACAGAGCAAATATATCCCAGTCCTACTGTTTTTCCTACTGCTACCATTTAGGAAGAGGGGCTGCAGCTCTTCAGCGCTGAGATGATCAAGACATGACAGCTGGAAATCAAATGGGGAGAGGAGAAGCCACATCAGGCACCACAATGCTTCCCTGTGCTCCTGACACCAAATATGCTGCCCTATGTTTTTTTCCAGATTATCTACTGAGTGTCTGTGGTCCGAACAGTGATGGAGTCTGACAACATGTTATAAAACAAAGCTTTATTGAGGCACTAGGAAAGATGAGCAACAGCGTGCCCATACAGCCACTCATCCAATCACTGATAGCAAACATGGCATTATAAGTGATGCTGTGACTCTGGTGGACATCCAGGGACACTTGGTGTCCAGGTCACCTGGCAGCAACAACCAGTCACATAAATGCCTTTTGAATGTGGGTAAGAGTTGTGCCCCCCTTGGCTCCAGCAATGGCAGTGTGATTTGAGAGGATCACACCTCACACGGAGACTGTGGGCAGCATCCTGCCTACGCTGCCAATGTCGGTCAAGGGGCAGGGTGGTAGGGGACAGGAGGTCAGCAGTCTGCCTACGCCAACGATGTTGGTCAATGGGCAGGCTGTCAGTGTCTCAAAATATATTTACCACTGGTATGTTTTTATTTCCAAGAAAACATGTCTCTAACAAAAGCATCCTTTGTCCAAAGCATTAGTCAGCCATTGACCTTCACTAGAACACTACAAAATTAATTAACTGAAATAAAAAAAGAATAGTTAAATCCCCCAATAACTTTCACCCATCAGGTCTGAAAATTCTCCTTCTGTTGCAGTTGTTCAGCTTTCACCCCCTGACTCTCAAAGCACTGCTTCATCAGTTGCCTCGCCTTGCATGACAGCCACAACCAGGGTTATGAAGCGAAAACAAGTGGTGCTCCCCCCCAACAGCAGTAGCTATCCCCACACAAACGATCCAAATTCCTTAGAAACTCTGCAAAGCAGAAAAAGAAAGAAAATTGTGACCTCATCCACGTGTTTTAGCCTTTTAGAAAGTATACCTATTGCATGCCAGGCTTTTGGGTTGTTTCAGCATTAGCTATGTTTTAAGTAAGAAAATGTGAGTCTCTAGTGCAGATGTTATTCTCTCTTCTGGTTTGCTACATGTCATGGTGGGACTCCAAGTCAGCTAGATATTGTCAACTCCACCCCAGCTGGAGTCACTACACTAGGGCTCTGAGGTGGATTTGCCTGAACCTCTTCCATAAAGTGAATTTTCCAAGAAAGACCAAAAGGTGTTTCAACTTGAGAAAGTCAGACAGTACTGAGCAACCTCCAGTGATTAAGTCCAGCAGAAAGAAAGGTGAAGGCTGTACAAAGCATGCTCCCCTTGCTCACTGTGTCCTGCTAGGGTGAGTCCTTACTGTTCGGTTTGATTTCAACAAACTCCCAGATTTCCCAAGCTGTGGCAACCTCTGCCCAGGTGCCCGGTCCCCAGGATGGACTGGGGCTCCAGATCCTCACTGCATTTTCCCCACTCCCCTCCACCTTCCCACCTCATGGCTCAAGGGCTGCTCCCCTGTGCTCCACAAGAAGGAACAGCCAACGCCTTCCTTGCACATGGCTTCCCCCACCTCTTCTTAGGAAAGAAACAGCCTTTAAAAGAAGGGGAAATTAAAGATACATAGTTCCTCACACATGCTAAAGCAAGCCTTTCTGACAGGAACATTAAACTATTGGGTAAACAGGCTCCAACGCAGGTTGCAACAAGAGACCTTTCCTCTTACTCTTTTCCCTGGTCCACTCGTGATGTTCACCAGACTATTTCATCCTGCCACAACTGAGGCTGTGAGCTGCAATATCTCTTTATAGTATGTCTGCACAATACGAGTTTAGGAAGGCCTGCAGGCACAACAGCAAGATAAATAACAGAAGACAATCAAGCTGTTATTAAAATCCTTTACAGGAGAACAGTTCCTTCAGTTCCCTTCAGTTTTACAGTATGGGGCTGTAATAATCCTTATGTATTTTGAATCTAGACAGTATTAGTCCCCTGAAATTGTCTTAGTGAATTTATATAAATTACTCAGTGGCCTTTTCAATTTTATTTTTTTTTTTTAAAGAACGCTTAGATTGCAGTTTTAAGATAGTGTACATACATTTTTTCAAAATGGCTGTAAAGTCATACCATTTCAACAACACTGACCCATGAATAACACTGGACAATTTCTTGAGCTCCCTATAAACCTTTAGGAGGTCTGCAATTTTGTTTAATTTCACTGATGTCCTGCATCTGGAGATGGTAAGGAAATGCAAAAGTTATTAACTCCTGTAAAATAAGAAAGTTGTTCAGGTCATTCCTCTTGTGGCCTGGCAGCTACATAAAACCACATGAATGGCACTGTAATTGCTCAGATACACAAAACCTGGTCATACTAACTTATTAGTAACTAGTGCAACAACAAATGGAGTAAAGACCTAGGTGAAGCTTTATGCTGACTCTGCTGTTGCTCTACCTCTCCAGGCAGCTCATCAAGGAAAGAGATTAGGGAAGGCATGATCAGCTTCTTAGGAGGCAGCCACTCACACTCCCAACGGAGGAGTCCCTTTTAATACAAAATATTCATCTTGGTATGGAAGACATTGGACTTTCATTAGCTGCAATATTTTGTGGCACAGTGCAGGGTCCAACCACTTCTTCACCACCTGCGTGGACTGTGGAAACATTGACTCTGCTGGATTTTGCTAATGCCACTATATCTGTAAGAAAAACAGGCCCCTGAGAATATTCTCTAAGCTAAATTTTAACCACTCCCCTCATCTGACCTTGAAATTGTCCTTTTCTGCATTGCCAACAATGGTGGTTAGACAACCGGTGTGCCCAGGTGAGTGCTTTTCAGCCTGACCGGTGCAATCTCATCCTTCCTGGGAATTAACTTTTTGCTACATTTGTCTGATCTCCCCTCCCTTAATTTTGTAGTTTTGCAGAGCAAATGCTGTCCTTCATTATGACTGTACAGTGCCCAGACTAATGGCATACTAGGCCAAGGCTATCATTACTAAGCTTATTTACTTGCTTACTTGAGAAGCGTGTCATCATATTCAGTATTTGTAAAGCACTTGCCATCAAAGATCAGAACATGCTTTGGAAAGGAAAACAAACAAACAAATCAACCCCCAAACTTTTCTTTTTGCTCACAGGGCAGAAACATTAATGGCCAGAGTTCTTGTTTGTGCTTATTCGTGCATGGCAGCTCTTTGCCAGGGAGGCGGTTTCACTGGCGCGAGCGCTGTGCCGACTGAGGTGCCGTTCCACTCGAGAAAGAATGCCAAAACACGGCTCCAAGTCATGTGCTGACTCAGTGGCAGGGCCCTGAACAGAAACTGAGTCTCTTTGTCCCACGGTCCAAGTGTTTAATTCTTATCAGTGTACTGAAGAAAAATACACAGTTAGAAGCTAAGGTCAATGGTTAGTTTCTAGAATATTTTGAAGCATGCACAAATATACTAAGCATGACAATTTTTTAAATGTCTTAATTCATAAAGTCCAGTGATTAATAACATGAGCAAATGACCAAACCTGAACTTGAACTAGCAATGTGACTTGAAGCACTTTTCAGAAACAATGATGGCAAAAGGTTTTCTGTACAGGATAGGTATGAGCAAAAAGAAGACGTGCAACAACAGGAAGCAAACTGAAACATGCCAAAATTGTTTGGCAGTCTGGGGAAGTTCCCACTGACTGGAAAAGGGGAAACATAACCCCCATTTTTAAAAAGGAAAAAAAAGAAGGACCCGAGGAACTACAGGCCGGTCAGTCTCACCTTTGTGCCCAGCAAGATCATGGAGTGGATCCTCCTGGAAACTATGTTAAGCCACATGGAAGATAAGGCAGTGATTGGTGACAGCCAACATGGCTTCAGTAATGGCAAATTTTGCCTGACAAATTTGGTGGCCTTCTACAATGGACTTAGAGCATTGGTGGATAAGGGAAGAGCAACGGACTTCATCTACCTGGACTTGTGCAAAGCCATTTGACACTGTCCTGCATGACAACCTTGTCTCCAAATTGAAGAGACATGGATTTGATGGATAGACCACTCAGTGGATAAGGAATTGGCTAGATGGTCGCACTCAAAGAGTTGTGGTCAATGACTTGACATCCAAGTGGAGACCAGTGACGAGTGGCATTCCTCTGGGTCAGTATTGGGACAGGTGCTGTTTAACATCTTTGTTGGTGACATGGATAGTGGGATCGAGTGCACGCTCGGCAAGTTTGCCAACGACACCAAGCTGTGTGGTGCAGTTGACACGCTGGAGGGAAGGGATGCCATCCCGAGGGACCTTGACAGGCTTGAGAGGTGGGCCCGTGTGAACCTCATGAAGTTCAACAAGGCCAAGTGCAAGGTCCTGCACATGGGTCAGGGCAATCCCAAGCACAAACACAGGCTGGGCAGAGAATGGATTGAGAGCAGCCCTGAGGAGAAGGACTTGGGGGAGTTGGTTGATGAGAAAGCTCAACAAGACCTGGCAATGTGCGCTTGCAGCCCAGAAAACCAACCGTATCCTGGGCTGCATCAAAAGAAGTGTGACCAGCAGGTTGAGGGAGGTGATTCTGCCCCTCTACTCTGCTCTCATGAGACCCCACCTGCAGCACTGTGTTCAGCTCTGGGGTCCCCAGCATAAGACATAGACCTGCTCGATCGAGTCGAGAGGAGGGCCACAAAGATGGTCAGGG